GAATATCATAACTTGATAGGAGCTGCACTCCACTAGTCTACAAGAACGGGTAAAAGAAACAGACGTAGTAGTATAATCCCCGTTGACTTTTAGCATTGCTGTTATCCTTGGTTCCGTTCCAAATGTAAACACAAGTCCAACCCAAGCCACAAAAATTTCCCAAAAAATAGGCTAATACCACTCTTATCATCTTTGTCTGGAGATTCAGATTCTATTTCAAAGTCCAAACTCCAATGTCCAAATTCCAGATCTTCATGAAACTTTGGAACTCCCTCCAATTAGAATATTTTGGGCCTAAAAGTTTGAGCGCCAAAACAAAGCACCCCACTTTACCAAATTCTCCCTACCCAATTTGTTTTCATCCAAAAATGCAGAGAAAGTACCATTACTCGTTAATTGACAAGAATAGCCTTCTTAAGATTTGATGGGCATATATAAATAACCACTGTGGCAGTAGACCATCTTTTGCCAGTGTGGCTCGGAGAGTAATTTACATTTGGTTTATTAGCTTAATACCTCGTAGAATCTGACTTGTAATAATTACTAGCATCATACTTAATTAACTACTGAATAGATTGATTATTTTTTTGCTTTACTACTAAATTGGTCAATGATAAGCATAATTGAGTATTACACCAAGTGCAATCCATTTCTTGACAACCCAACTGGCAATCAGTATGAATTATGAACCATCAAACCCCAATTTTTGTTTTGCCAAAGATGATGATGATGATAGCAAGGCAATTATTAAACAGTCAATTTAAGAAAGGGAAAAAAAAAGGTATTGATTAACTACAAGACTCAAATTTGTTTCTTAATTCAAACAGCACATGTATCAATCCACAGCACTAGTGAGTTATAATATTCCTTTAAAATACTAAGTAGTACTACCATTAGTATCCAACAGTTTTGCGTATCCACATAAGTAGAACATACTACCTAACCAATATAAATAGAATATAATATAAAAGAACCAAAAATCCAGAAGTAGTAAAATAAAGTACTCCTTGATTAATTACAAAAATGCCCTCTAAAGTATATCTATTTTTACACTTTGCTCCCTTACTTTTTTTTTTCTCACTTCATAGTCTAAATCGTTAGTTGACTCTAACATTATGAGACGGTAAAGCCAAAAAGATATTTATATTCTTAATAGTTAAATGCAGTAATTCCACCAACTAATTTTACACTTTATCCCCCCAATACCATTTTTTCCCAATTTGTCTGTTTATAACTAAAATCATTAGTTAAACTCCAATATTTTATAACACCCGAGATAAAAAATGTCTAAAAAAACCAATATTCCTAACATAGTAATGAAAAAGTAATATATTTATAGATACGGTCCTAATTAAATTTCATCCTATAATTATACTTTTTCAAGACTGAGCGAAATATCTTGCTAATTTCAAGTAATAACGGGAAAAAATAACAAAAATTAATATATGAAATTATTATTAAAAGTCTAAAAATACTTGAATATTGTTAGTTTCTCTTTGTAATGTGCATATGGTTGCATTTTTTGTTTAATAGCTAGATATTTTCTTTATATGGGAGTAAGTATACAGTTTTTTTCTTTGTTGGTAATACTTAAAAAAGAGAGAAATATGGTTGTTTTAGGTTTAAAGTTTCTATGGTCATTTCTTAATATAGCATAGTTAGATGCTATTAAAATTTGTTTGGATTGCTAAATTTTTCTAAATTTTTTTTTGTTTCATCATAAGCATGTTTCTCAATCATCTTTTTAATTTTTAACCACTTTTATATTTCACAAACATCAAATAGTAAAAATTGTTATGGTATTAATTTAAAAATTATCAAGTAACTTTCAATCCAAACAATCCCAATCTATAGACCTTTTTAATAATACTTTTGTAGTTTATTTCTCACTAATAATTTTTTATTTTCCCCTTATCCAAAAATATATAATTATAGAGATAAAATTTAACAAGATCTATATCCATAAATATACAATAATTTTTATTATTATGTTAGGGATACTAATAATTTAAATATTATATGTCTTGAGTAGTTTTAGGGACAAACAGACAAATTAAGAGAAAATAATACTAGAGGATATAGTGCAAAAAGGCAATATAACTTAAGGGGATTTATTGGAGTTAACTGTTAGGGGTATAGATGTCTTTTTGATATTTTTCATTACATAGTGTTAGAGTTGACTAACAGTTTTGGAGATAAAGTAAGAAAAAACAATATTAGAGGGTCAAATATAAAATTAGTTAAACCTTAAGGGGAGCTTTTGTAATTAATCCTAAAATAAAATACTCTTTGCTAAAGTTGGTCCTCAAATCGGAAAATGACCTCCAATGTCTTGAATCTACATTCTCAGCCTCTTTCTTTTTTTTTTTCCTTTATCAAAGAAGGGGTAGGATTAAAGAAGCGATGATGGGATAGAGAGATTAGAATCTAGAATCTCTAATTTCTAGAACCTTAACCTAAACTAAAGCCTTATCACTACATTCTTAACCTTGTATATATGAAACCTTAAATATGGAAAAGAAAATTTTCCTTCAGTTATAAAAGTGAAAAATGAAAAAGAAAAAAAATATATAGAATCAGAAGGATAGAAAAAAGATGAATATGTGCATCTGGATATCTCATTGTTTGGAAACACGTGAAAAATTACTTACATTATAGACTCGTTTTCTAAACTTTTTTTATCTTTTCGATCACTAATTTTATTTTAAATATATCACATTATAAAAAGTGTTATAGAATTTTTTAAAAAGATGTTTGTTATCTCAACCTTTATAAATACACACTAATATATGCCAACAAGGGCATCATTCCTTGGAAGGCACTTAAAAAAGAAACTTCAAAAGTCATAGGGGTCAATGACTTGGTGTTGCTAGCACCATGGAAGGCTTTTGTGATGGTTTGCTTTGAGACTGGAACAATTGTCAACCATAGTAACGTATTTCATATATTAGAAATCACAAAACTTGTAAGCATTGTCCATAACTTTGTAAACTTTAAATAATGTTCAAATGCATGACCACATATTCATATTCAGAAATTTGATTACACTTCTCAAAATTGTTATCGGTTCTAACCACCAACTATGAAGGACGGTTACCATTAAGATATTATTCTTGCGAGTTGGTCTATATACTCGACAGCAACCAATATATAATTGGTCAAAACACTATGGGATGTGTTATCGTATGACTGAATTTGAGTGAAACAATTGTCAAACACAGTTTTGTATAAATTTCCACCATATTTCACTGTTATAAACCATAAAAATTTGTTAAACCTTTTTCCTGTGGTTGCAAAATTCACTAAATTATATTTAATCACGAGATGTGGATTAATACTTTTAATTTTATTTGGTTCCTCTCAATCGGTATGATGGTTGTCACTAAAGATGATAATGGACCCTGCCTTCGACCCCGTCCAATACCTCCCCCACCACTAGAGCTGTTAAGTCAATCGAATAGCTCGAAAGCTCGTTAGAGCTCGGCTCGTTAATTTTGGTTAACGAGTCAAGCTCGAGCTCGAAATATGCTCGTTTAGTTAACGAGTCGAGTAAGCTCGGCTCGTTTGATACTCGAGTAGCTCGTTAGAGCTCGTTAATGAAGGGCATATTTGTCATTTTAGAAATCAAAATTATAAAAATTAAAAATTATAGGTTTTTATTAAGGTTAATTTGCACGAGCTCGAGCTCGAGCTCGTGAAGCTCGACTCGTTTATCACAAACGAGTCGAGCTCGAGCTCGAGTTCGAGTCACATGTACATTTAACGAGTCGAGTTCGAACACATTTTAAAGCTCGTTTTCCTAACGAGCTCGAGTCAAGCTCGGCTCGAATTAAACTCGAGTCGAGCTCGGCAACCAAATACTCGGCTCGACTCGGCTCGATTAACAGCTCTACCCACCACCCCCAACAAAAATATCACGGTGCCCCCTCCGCCTTGCCTCAGTTCCCGGCAGGCGTCCATGGAGGAGAAAACACTAGTACGCAACGAGAAAATGCTACCGCTACTTCAAGTTTTCGAAGGCATACATTACCAATTGACCTAACTGAAGTAACACCATCATCTCCAACCAGCTATACTTTAACCAATGAACATCAGCTGTCCTTTAACCAATGAACAAGCCAATAGAGTAGCTTCTATAAAAGGGCTAAAAACCAAACAGATGAGAAGCGGAAAATATATATTTACATAGACATATATACACACACATATACATATACACAACCCTTATCACATAAGAATAGCAACGGTTGACTAGTAAAATAAAAAATTGTATTTGTTACTAGGCAAGGTTGAATGAATAATCCCCGATCCATTCAAATCCAATGAATTACTCCCTCCCTTTTTTTATAACTGATGTTTAAGAAATTTGCTCTAGTGTACTTTTATCTGTCATTTTATTATCCCCATATAGCATTAATTACTTTTTCACAATTTTACCCTTTTATCTCTCTGGTATTAATACACTCCCATGCATTGCTTTTGGCCTAGTAAAACAGCACCATTTAGTACTATAGTGAGAGAAAACATGGGTGAATTGGACAATTAATGAGAGTACAAAAGGAAAGTAGTGTACAGATTTAAGCATTGAAAAACTTTTCTTAATTAGTGTGTAAAACCTTAAACGTCAGTTATAAAAAAAGGGAGGGAGTATAACAAAGCTAAATCTTGAACTTATAATTATTAGGATATTTAAATTATATTTAATTTATACAGGGGATGGGCCGAGAGTATCCTCGCCTCTCTGTGGCCCGCCCCATCTCCTCCTCTTCCATTCTCGTCCTGTTACTCCCTCTATTCGTCTTCATTGTCATCTCTAGTTGTCATTAGGATACTGTTCTTATGGGGCGATCCATTTGCTTGGCACTGATCAATTATGGATTTACGGTTATGCCCTTTTGCTTTAACAAAACAAAAATAGAAAATAATATCCCAGCCGAAAAAGGAAAATAGTAAAAAAAAAAAAAGCGGATTTAATCTACAGAGAGGAGAGAGAGAGATTCGTCTTCAGCTATTCTTATTTTTCGTCTCTGTCAAAAAAGTTTAAAGAAAATAAAAAACAAATCGATCTTTCCTTCCTTCCTCGTCAAAGGCTCTCTTCGCCTCGCCCTCTATTCTTCCATTCTCTCTCGACCTGGTTCATTTCGACTCGGTTATCTGAACTCACCGGCGATTCAACTCGTCTCAACTCATCTCAACTCCACAGTCGATCCCTCCGTGCGTCTCAACTCAGCTCTCCAAGTAAGTCTGCAGATTTCAAAACCCTAGGTTTTCTAATTTTGAAGGAAACCAAGATTGAATTGCTATTTATATTTTCTTTTCCAATCCCAAGACCCTACATTTTTGGAGTTAAATTGAATTTCCGAAACGTTTGATGCAGTTTCGTATTAATTCTTGGATTTTTATGTGGTTTTATTGCTGTTTATGGAAATTCTAGGGTTTTGATTGCTCGGAGGCCGGTTGGAGGCTTTTTTTTGCCGTAGTGGAAGAGAAGTATGAGCAAGGAAAGCCCAGGAGAAGTGGAGAATTAGGGTCCATTTTCTGAAAGGTGATTCCGGGGATTTCGGGTAGGGATTCTGGCATTCCATGGGCGATGGCGGTGTTGCATGCGTGCCTTCGCAGCCACATATTATGGAGCGGTTTCCTATTTGCGGAGGCAAAAGTAATGGTAACAGCACCAGCGGCACCACTACCAGCACCAGTAGTAAGAGCAAGCTTAGTTCATCTTCTACAACAACTGTTGTGAAAGTGAACGGGAAGACTATGAAGAAGGTGAAAAAAGTGATTAAGAGAAAACGAGAATTGGGTCCCAAGAGTAGTGTGAATAGTGAGAAAGAAGTTGTGGTTAGTAATAGTTGCAATAGTAATATTAATGGTAACAATAGTAGTAATGTTGTTAATAGTGAGGTTAATAATAAGGATGAAGTGGAGGAGGGTGAATTGGGTACTTTGCCAATTGAGAATGGCAAGGTGATTGTGGAAAGGCCAACAACTAGGAAGCATGAGATCAGGAGTGAGATTGAAAAGGGCGAAAGTGTTGTTGATAAGTGGAAAAAAAGTGGGGAGGTGGAGAAGGGGGAGTTTTTAGGTGGGAGATGGCGAAAACTGGAAGAAAAGAATGAACCATCATCTGGGTCGTGGAGGACTTCATCGAAAGAAGAATTGGAAAAAGGGGAGTTTGTACCAGATAGGTGGCGCAAAAGTGAGGTGGTAATGAAGGATGATTACAGCTACTCGAGAACAAGAAGGTATGATTATGCCAAAGACAAAGGATGGAAAGGTGAGCGTGAGTGGACGCCTCCACCTCTGCCTTCTTCTGGGAAGTATTTGAATGAGAAGGAGCTCAGTAGAAGTGCGAATCAGCTTACAAAGAGGGGTTCTAGATATGAAGATGGTATTTTTGACAGGACTCCAAGGATCAGCTCAAAAGTTGTGGACGAAGATGGTTATGAACTCAGCAATGGCAAGAGTTATGCTAGAGAATACTCTTCAGGTAACAGGCTAAAGCGCCAAGGTGCTGATATTGACAGCAGTGACAGGAAACATCGTGGTGACTCTGATGACTACACAAGTACTAGAAGCCGAAAGCTTTCTGATAATGGCACTCGGTCAATGTACTCATCAGAGCACCATTCACGCAGGTCTGTGGACAGGCAATATAGAAATTCTTCTTCTTCATCCCGGAATGTTCTCTCTGATAGGTACTCTTCTAGGCATTACGAATCTTCAAGAGCAGGCTATGACAAGTATAACAGCAGTCCACATCACTTTGAGAGGTCCCCACATGAGCGGGCCCGTTACCATGATCATCGTGATTGGAGCCCGGCCCATCGTGAAAGGTCTCCATATGATCACAGCAGGTCCCCATACGATCGGAGCCGCCAGTATGATCACAGTAGGTCACCATATGATAGAAGTCACCACTATGATCGTAGGAAGCGCAGCCCGAGTTATTCAGAGTGGTCTCCACAAAATCAAGCTCGGTATCAGAGGGGTCGAAGCCCAAGTTTTTTGGAACGGTCTCCTCCTGATCATGGGAAGCCCCGTGAACCCAATCGAAAGAATGGGGCAAGCAAAAAGAGTAATGGTGGAAATAGAGGGGCAGATGAGAAACCTCCCAACCAGAAGGCTCCAATTGGAAGAGATTTGCGGATGTCAGTTAAAGAATATGAGGATAGAAGTCACATGGATATTGTTGATGTTTCCAAGGTTAGAAATGTAGTTCCGCCCTCAAACAAGGAAGAACATTCTCAAGTTCCTGAAGTGACGGGTAAGGAAGTTCCTCAGGAAAATGGATGTGCTGAGGAGCTGGTCTCAATGGAAGAAGATATGGACATATGCAATACGCCACCACATGAACCTGTGGTGGATGATGCAGCCACTGGGAAATGGTTTTATCTTGATCACCTGGGAGTGGAGCAGGGCCCTTCCAGATTATCTGACTTAAAGAAATTAGTGGAAGAAGGTTTTCTTGTGTCAGATCACTTGATCAAGCATCTGGATAGTGATAGATGGGTAACTGTTGAAAAGGCAGCCTCTCCATTAGTGACTTCTAATTTCCATTCAATTGTTTCGGATACTATCACACAGCTGGTCAGCCCTCCTGAAGCTCCAGGTAATACACTGGTCGATAATGGAGATTTGTCTGAAATTAGTAGTCAGGTTGGCCAGGAAAAGCCACCCCCTTCCTTAGATCCAATATCCTCTGGGGACAATCTGGCGTCTGTAGAGCCTCTGGAAGACCTTCATATTGATGAAAGGGTTGGTGCATTTTTAGATGGTTTTACAGTTATTCCTGGCAGGGAACTTGAGATGGTTGGAGGTAAACAAATTCTCTTCTTTTTAGATCTTGATTATTTTGCTTATTTTTAATTTAAATTTTCAATTTTGTTCTGGTGATATCATATTTGAATTTGAGTCACAAATTTCTTGCACCTTGCAGAAGTGCTTCAGATGACATCTGGGGATGGGGAGTGGGAGAGATGGGGAAAAATTGAAGGTAATATCTTTTTTTTTTCTTTTTTTTTTAGGTAAAGGTATTTTTGTTGTTTGTATCTATCATATATTTCTGGGTTAATTCCTTTTGTAGTTAATAGTAATCTTTTATTGGTTGGAAGCTTAGCAGTGTTGATCCATGTAGTCTTATACAAAAGTATGTTTATAAATGTTCTGATGGATGAGGTGTTTGCTTTGTTATTCTTGGTAATTATGTAATTTGCTTTGATCTGGTGTTCAATTTTCATTTTACTCTTATTATTATTTTTGCAAAATTATCTTTTATTATTATTATTATTACTATATTTATGTTTGCTCTTTAAAGTCAAAAAGGAAAAGAAACATGGTTTTAAGTAACTCTTATCACATAAGATTTCCCAATACATTTATTGCCTTTTAATTGCCTGTGCAAGCTTTGTGCTATTTTGCATGTGCTGAAATACTCGTTTTGATTTTCATCTTTTTTTTTTTTAATATTTTAAGCTATTAGTCAATTTTATCTATTTAAGTACTAAGCTAATGTAACTGCCTTGGGATTTATGTCACTGCAACATTTTGTCTTGTAGCTTTGTTTAGTGAAAGGGAGGAGGTGGGCAAGCTGTATACTGGGGGCATTTTCAATCTGTTATACTGAATTTGATTTTGGATCATGCACAGGTTTCACTTGGCATCAACTTCACCTGGGTGATTACAATGATCAAAGATCTAGTGAGGTTATGCTCAATTCTGAGTCTGCTTCCAGAGAAAGTGTGGAGTTGAGAGCATCTTTGATGATAGCAGCAGAGAAGGATGGTGCTTTTGCTTGTGAGAGTGGTGGATGCTTTTCTGGCCATTGGTCTTGCAAGGGTGGGGACTGGAAGAGGATCGATGAAGCTTCTCAAGATAAAACTTGGAGGAAAAAGCTTGTTCTCAATGATAACTATCCTCTGTGCCAGATGCCAAAATCTGGCTATGAGGATCCTCGTTGGCAGCGAAAAGATGAGTTGTATTATCCTTCGCAAAGTAGAAGGCTTGATCTTCCACCTTGGGCTTTTACCTCTCCTGATGAATGGAATGATAATAGCAGTGTGAACAGAACACCTCAAAGTAAAACTAACATTGCACGAGGATTTCGAGGAATGATGCTTCCTGTGGTCAGAATAAATGCTTGTGTAGTGAACGACCATGATACACTTCTCTCTGACCCTCGTGGCAAAGCTAGGGTTAAAGACAGATTCTCTTCAAAGTCCTCAAGAAACTACCCAGTAACTAGTGAAACAAAGAGGTCATCGTCAGAAGGTCTTTCTAGAGTGAAAAACACACATGAACAGGGCTCACATTGTTCATGGAAGAGTTCCACATCCTTAAGTGTTCCTAAAGACCGTATCTTCACTGCAGATGAGCTTCAGCTGAATTTTGGTGAGTGGTACTACTTTGATGGTGCTGGGCATGAACGAGGACCTTTATCGTTTTCAGAGCTGCAAGTCTTGGCTGATCAAGGTGTAATACAGAAGCATAGCAGTGCTTTCAGGAAAGTGGATAAGATTTGGGTTCCAATTTCCTCTCCTAGAGAAGCTACTGGTCCCACTAAAGCTCTAGGAGTAAATGGTGCCTTGAATGATACTGCTGGAGCTTCTGGATTGGAAACAAGTGATGCTATACTTGGTAGATGTAGCTGGGCTTCCAGTATGTTTCACAGCATGCATCCACAGTTCATTGGGTATACTCAGGGAAAGCTCCATGAGTTAGTGATGAAATCCTACAAGAGCCGGGAGTTTACTGCAGCAATAAATGAAGTCTTAGATCCATGGATCAATGCAAGACAGCCAAAGAAAGAGACTGAACGACATGTATACCCCTCTGCTCTCAAATCTGGTATGGTAATTTTTTTTTTTTCTTTCCATGGCGTGTTTTGCTGTGACTTATTAGTTAGTCAAAAATCATACCCTCCTAGAGTTCTGATAATTTGTTTAAAAAATTGAATTTGATCAGGTATGAATGATTAGTTTCTAGTTGTGTGGAATTGTAGTGGGCAAGCCATGTTTTTAGTCTCCTCTCTATAACTGCAGAATTAGTTCCCACCTTAATATCTACCTGACTATATCCAACAAGCTTTTACAAAGTATATTGCAGACTGCTGTCTTCTCAATTTGGTCTGCCATTTGATACTTCCTGCAAAGAAAAAGAGAGTACTTAAACATATAGCTGTAAACAATATCACGAATCTATTCTTCTTGGATACAATATGCTAGCTTGAAGTGATCAAGCAACCACGATCTATCCAGCTCATACTTTTTAGTCTTATATTTTCTTGGTGTCACCAATTCACTCTGGATGTTTGTGCAATCTGTTGAGAAGTTTCACCTTCTTCAAAGTTGCCACATAATATCTGTTCATGACAATATGCCAATGCATCACGGTCCATTGACTATTTTCTTTGCACAATAGGTTAATTTATATGCTGTCTCTGTAGTTTCTAACTGCTCAAAGATGCACTATTCCATCTTCACAGGACTAAGTTCCTCTTCTGCTAGGGGTGTGTATTCTGATGATATTAGTTGGGTTTTGTATGGGTTTCTTGTGCAAGTATCATGTTTGTTTGGTTAAAATATGTGTAATTTGAACCTATGAGATGGAAATGAGATAAAGACTTTAAGCTGAAAATTCTTAGAAGGAGGACTCTGTAAAGCTTTGGAGGCCACCTCATTTCAAGACAGTGAACTGTGCTAAGAGTTAATTTTGTATGTTGAAATCTGGATCAGTGAAACAAAGTGTATCCCTTTCCAAAATCTGCAGAATTGTTCTAACTTAAGGTAGGCGACATGTCAGTGGTGGTGATGTCTTGAGGGTAATTGTGCTTACCATGTGAAATTGTGCATCCTATATCATTCATTCTCTCGTTTTTCCCCTCTAGTCCCACCTGGCAATTACTGGAAAACATTTAAAATTCCATTTTGTTGAAATTTAGGTAGAGTTTTGACCTGATATTGTCATGTGGTGCTTGCAGATCAAATGCGTGCTAGTAAGAGACTGCGGATTGATGGTAGCGAGGATGAGTATGAGATGGAGGATGTCTCGGCTCCATTGAAGGATGAATGGTCTTTTGATGACATATGTGGTGATGGTAATTTTAGTGAAGCTGAAGCTGAATATCAAAATGGAATCTGGGCTGATTTGGGAGACCGAGTTCTGGCACGAATCTTTCATTTCCTTAGAGCAGATTTAAAATCTTTTGCTATTGTTGCTTCGACTTGTAAACACTGGAGATATGTCCTAAAGTATTACAAACAAGTCTCTAGACAAGTCGACTTCTCGTCTATTGCCTCAAACTGCAATGATGCCAGCCTGTGGAATATAATGGTAATCTTGTGTTCATACAAACAAGTTCCTTGTTGTGATTGTTTTCCGTGTATGCACCATACGCGTACACACAGTATTTCTGTGATTCCTGGGGTTTTATGGGTGGGGATGTGTATGGACGTTTGAGTATTCTAAATAAGAAAGAAACTTAACTTCTTACTGAGCTATTTTATTTCTTTGCCTGCAGGATGGATACAACAATAAAAAGATTAGTACCTTGATTCTACGTGGCTGCACCAAAATTAGTTCTACTACGCTTGAGGAAGTTCTTCAGTCATTCACGAGTTTATCTTCAGTAGACATTAGAGGTTGTAGTCAATTGGAAGACTTGGCCTCTAATTTTCCAAATATTAACTGGATTAAGAGCCGGGGACTACATTCAAAAACAAGGAGTCTCAAACAGTTAACTGATGGAACTTTGTCAGCCTCTAGGAACTTCAGTGGTCTAGATAATCAAACATATGATTCCAGTGGATTGAGAGATTATCTGGAAAGTTCTGATAGGAGAGACTCTGCAAATCGGTTGTTTCGACAGAGCTTGTATAAACGTTCAAAACTGTTTGACGCTAGGAAATCTTCATCTATCTTATCTAGGGATGCTCATATGAGGCGGTTGGCCTTGAGAAAGTCTGAAAATGGGTACAAGAGGATGGAGCAATTTCTGGCTTTAAGCTTAAAGGACATAATGAAGGAAAACACTTTTGAATTTTTTGTGCCGAAGGTACACGTGGTTTGCTTCTTTGTGGTTTGTGTCCCATATATACTACTGTATGCATTTTTCTCATATTTTCTCCTTGTTGATCAGGTTGCAGAGATTGAGAACAGAATGAGAAGTGGTTATTATGTTGGCCGGGGCTTGAGTTCTGTAAAAGATGATATTAGGCGTATGTGCAGGGATGCTATAAAGTAAGTGCTTTCTGTTTCTGACTGGTTTGGAAATATGGATTTTTATTTTATTGGTATTGAAAGCCCCTGGATTTCCCATTTTTATGCTACTGGAAGGATAGTCTATTGTTCAGACGCTATAGAAGAAAATTGGTAGTTAGACCTCTTAACCCTTTTTAAACCCTTTTTTAAGTGTCCCTAAAGCCTTGACATTATCTTTAAGGGTTTCTTTTAACTTGTTTTGGTTTTAATGTGTTATGACCTTAGGCTTGGTATTGGGGAAGCAGGAAGTATGGTTGCCCCACGCTAGACTTGATGTACTTTGTAAATATGATTTCTTCTTGACTGTGGTACATTGAATATTATTCCCAGTTAAAGTATCCTTTTTTCTCTCTCTTATACTAATTGAATCTCTAATTTGTCTTTCTAGCCAGTTCTAAAATATTGTCCATTTTGCTTGTGTAGAAGCTTTAAACTGAATATTGATTTTTTGGCTTTTCATCTCTATGTAACCAAAATTTGTCAATCCACATGTTCCTGAATTCCTCTTTAAATCTCAATTTTCTAGTTTGGTGGTTTCAACAGAGTTGCAACATTTTTTACACCATATGTATTTTAAACACACCACTCGCAGTATCTAGGTTGCATAGTCTTTTTAACATTCGCTCTTTATTTTAATATTCCCACTTATCACATGTTCACTAGATATGATGAAGTTTTGCATTTTAATTTAATGACTTGCTCTGTGAACCAGATCAAAGAATCGAGGTGATGCTAGAAATGTTAATCATATTATCACATTGTTTATTCGTCTTGCTACAAGTTTGGAGGATGGTTCTAAGTCATGTACTGAAAGAGATGTGAAGATATGGAAGGAAGATTCTCCTCCAGGGTTCTCATCGTCTTCTTCTAAACACAAGAAGAAAGTTACTGAAAAGAAACACGCAAACAGGAGCAATGGGTCCTCCTCTATTAATGGTAGTTCGGATTATGGAGATTATGCATCTGATAGGGAAATCAGGAGGCGTTTATCAAAATTGAATAAGAAATCTATGGACTCAGAAAGTGAAACATCTGATGATATGGACAGATCTTCAAATGAGAGCATGACCGACAGTGAGAGCACCGCTTCAGACACTGAAAGTGACTCAGATTTAAGGTCAGAAATTGGACCGGGAGAAGCAAGAGGAGAAACATACTTCCCTCCAGATGAAGTATTCGATTCATTGGCTGATGAACGTGAATGGGGTGCTCGGATGACAAAGGCAAGCCTTGTGCCTCCTGTTACTAGGAAATATGAAGTCATTGATCACTATGTTGTAGTGGCTGGCGAGGTGGAAGTAAGAAGAAAGATGCAGGTGTCTCTCCCTGAGGATTATGCTGAGAAGCTCAATGCACAGAGAAATGGAACTGAGGAGTCTGATATGGAAATCCCTGAAGTGAAGGACTATAGACCTAGAAAACAACTGGGAGATCAGGTGCTAGAACAAGAAGTTTATGGCATTGACCCTTACACTCATAATCTTCTTCTTGATTCCATGCCAGAGGAATCAGATTGGTCTCTCGTTGATAAGCATGTGTTTATTGAAGATGTGCTGCCTCGCACTTTGAATAAACAAGTTAGGCAGTTCACTGGTTCTGGAAATACTCCTATGATGTATCCACTAAAACCGGTATTCGAGGAAATCCTGGATACAGCTGAGGAAGACCATGATTGGAGAACTGTAAGATTATGTGAGTTCATTTTGAAGAACATTGATAGTCGTCCAGAGGACAACTATGTTGCATATAGAAAGGTAAGGGAGTTGATATCTTTTCCCTTTCGATAGTAGATTCTGATGTGTTTTCTCAAACTCTCCTCTGATGGGCTATTTGTGGTCACCCCCTTTTTTGGGAGCAGGGGCTTGGTGTGGTCTGCAATAAAGAAGGTGGCTTTGGTGAGGAGGATTTTGTTGTTGAGTTCTTGGGAGAGGTAAATCCTAAATTGTCACTTTCTGGCTAGTAAATTTTGCAGGATAGCTATTGTTGTTATTGTTGCTTTTTGTTTTGGGTAGATTATCTCTGTACCGTTTTCAGTAACTCAGGGTTCTTGGTTATCAGATCTGGTACATTTCAGAGTAATGCTGATTGAGTTAGATATGTATGGTTGTTTCTGCTCTGTCATTTTGTTTGTGATATTCCTTATACTAACAATAGTTGTTGCTGTGAAAAATGTTTCTGTAGAAGTGAACGAGATCTGTTGTTTCCTTTCCTTGTGTCCTATGCATGACTTTGCTGGGGTCCTTGGTGATACACATGATCGATTTGGAGTCATATATCTTTAGTTTTGTCGTTATAGTCTAAGCCCATGATTTTGAAGTAGTCTCTCAGCTGAACTTATTTGTTGCTTTATTGGAGGCTAAGTCTTGTAGCCTAACTTAAGAGTTCAGTAGTTCACTTGTTACAGTAAACCCGATTGTTATGGTGCTTTATGAAACACTTTGAGACCTTTTAGATTTTGACTCTTTCTGTTTGGTTGATTGCGTGCGTTTAGTTTATTTGCGGGTTTCTTTCCTTTGGGGATCAAATAATGTCATAGAGTGTTGTGTCCTCCAGAGTGATATTCAATGCAAAATTGTTGGTGCTGTAGACAGACACACCTGAGCTAGTTTATGGTGGATATCTTGATGAGTTTGAATTAGAGTGGGCTGGCCAGCCTGTATTGATAAATATCAAATCATAGGGAACAGCAGGTAGAGGTAACATCTTCAAGGGCCTAAGTGGTTTTATGTTATTCTGTGGAATTTATCAGTTTTAGATTAGGAATAGGCTGGAAGAGTGAAGTGATGTCTACCAACCTATATAGATGCACAGTGAGAGGCAGAAGGAGATTGCTGCCGTCATTGTTGACCAAAAAAAAAAAAAAAAATCCCATGAGTCTGTATATGATTTAACAGTAGGAATTCTTGACCGGAACAGAAGTGCTAGGAGAAACAAGGCTATGCGGTACCAAAAGAGATGAAACTTCATAAGGGTGGGATTATGTCAGAAATTTTGAGACTGAGCTTGCATTGCTCTGCCTCTATACACCCGTATTTGGTTTTTGGAATTAATTCTCCCAAGATCTTAATGTTTATTTTTCCTGCTTCATATTTTGGAGCTAGTCAATGAATTTTTACTGGCCTACTTGTTGATTGGTCCTTGTGTATGTTTTTTCTGTTTATGTTTTTGGGTCAGTTTTGTTCGAAAAATATGCTTCTGTGCTTCTTGCCCACACTAATGAAGATTTTCTCTGATTTCGTGTTCAGGTTTATCCTACTTGGAAGTGGTTTGAGAAGCAAGATGGTATTCGGTCTTTACAGAAAAACAGTAAAGATCCAGCACCAGAGTTTTACAACATATATCTTGAGAGGCCAAAGGTGTGTGCTATCTTTAACCTAATAGTTCTACATCAGTTTCCTATTTCCCTGACTGGGAACTTGTGTGTTCTGTTATATTCTATGGATGTATTCGTTGGTGGCTTTTCCCATTTTTCTGCATGTCTAAGTATTGTTCCAATTCGCAGGGTGATGCTGATGGGTATGATCTAGTAGTTGTTGATGCAATGCACAAGGCAAATTATGCTAGCCGAATATGTCACTCATGTCGACCTAATTGTGAAGCAAAGTAAGTTTTCAATAGAAAATTTGTTTCTCTGGGCATACTTTGTTTCCACTATCTCATGGATATTTCTCATCTCTGGTGCTAGGCTTTGAATACTTATGAAATCGAATATCTTCTGGATGGAGAGATCATCATTAATTTGGATGTAGAAGTTTAGCCATGTTATATCTTTGCTTCTAATATCCACGTGAATTTCAATTATTGTCTTCTTCCCTTCTATTTTTGATTTCTGTTATTGAAGCCCTTATGTGTGAGAGACTCACCACTTTTGCTGTGTTTTGTGCCTTTTTCATGGATTTGTGGAGTATGTATATGTGGTGTCTTAGGCGGACATAATAGTTGTACCAAATTATATTGTTGGGCAGCTGCATATTGTGCTTGAAGATTTGATCTATACTTTTAGATGAAAATCCTTTTTATACAACATATTAATTTTCATTTTTTAGATAGCATGATATGATTCTATGATGAATTTTTATAAGTGGTAACTTGTATTATTTGGACAGCTAAAAGATACGTCTTCTTTTGTTGTTCTTTTAACTGATTTGGTATGCCCTTTTCCCTCTCCAACCCTTTGGCATTGGCACATTGTCATCCACTAATGCTTAGGTTGGTCAGCTGGGTAGTGTTGATGGTTATTTTCTACATGCATCTTTGTTGTTATTTGTGGTGTTGCTTTTAGTGGCATGGAGGAGAGAATGTTTCGTTATTTGCAGGGATTTTATTTAATATTGTTCTGGCTATCTGTTAATGAGTGCAGGGTTACGGCTGTTGATGGCCAATACCAGATTGGAATCTACACTGTACGTGCAATTCAATATGGTGAAGAGATAACTTTTGACTATAACTCTGTTACTGAGGTGCGAATCTATATGTTGCTCTTAAGTCTAAGGAGAATTCATCACAACTCTACTAAGCCTTCGTTTTAAGTACAAGGAGAATTAGCCCCTGGAATCCTGAATTTTCCCAGAATCTGATAGGTAAAAGTTTGTTCCTCATTAATTCTGCAGAGTAAAGAAGAGTATGAAGCTTCTGTTTGTTTATGCGGCAGCCAAGTTTGTCGTGGCAGTTATCTGAATTTGACGGGTGAAGGGGCCTATCAAAAGGTACAGTGCATCAGTGCAATTTCCTGAAGTGTAAAGCATTATTTGGGATTCATTGGAGGATTATGATGAATTTTTGTTTGCAGAAGTTTCCATACACATCTTGTATTTGGTTTGCAAGATTTAGAAGCTTCTGCTATTTCATGATGGATGTTTGATTTTACAGTTTATGAGATCTAAATAATTTGCCATTGTCATTGTCTGATTATTTATGTATACTTAACTGCTAACTTGTCTGCCAGGTGCTGAAGGAGTATCATGGAATCCTGGACCGACACCAGCTTATGCTAGAAGCTTGTGAATTGAATTCAGTTTCAGAAGAAGATTATATTGACCTGTTAAAGGCTGGACTTGGCAGTTGTTTGCTGGATGGATTACCAGACTGGCTGATTGCTTACTCAGCTCGTCTTGTATGTTTTTTTACTCAATTTACTCTCTAATTTATAAGAAAATCTTTGAGGATCCACCTTGATTATGTTGATTGAGATGTAGGTGAGATTCATTAATTTTGAGAGGACAAAACTTCCCAAGGAGATTCTCAAGCACAATTTGGAAGAAAAGAAAAAATATTTTGCAGAGATTTCGATGGACTTTGAAAAGAGTGATGCCGAGGTTCAGGTTAGTGTTATTTTAGTTTCAGTATGGCTCTTATTCAAATAATCTCGATTATTCTCGGTTTGATGGTCCATTTTTGTACTTGGAGACATGGAGTGCTGGTCTTATATTTTATCTTGAATGCTGCAGGCTGAAGGTGTATATAACCAAAGGCTGCAGAATTTGGCTCTTACTCTTGACAAGGTAACGGACTTCTTAATATGAAAACTATCTGCAGTACAGGCCTTTTAGAATCTTGATATTAATGAAACATTACGCGGATGCTGTAGCTATACAACCTGGATGGTTGCCTAATAAGCTTTTCCTATGCTCTAAACTTGCATGTTTTTGGTCTATAAAAAGCTTGAAGGTAACAAAAATTTTATTTTGCTGGGTGGTGTTTACAGGTGAGGTATGTAATGCGATGTGTTTTTGGTGATCCAAAGAGAGCCCCTCCCCCTCTTGAGAGGCTTGATCCCAGAGAAGCAGTTTCATATCTCTGGAGCGGAGAGGAATCCCTCGTGGAAGACCTTATTCAGTGCATAGCACCGCATATGGAAGATAATATGTTAAGTGAACTCAAGGCTAGTATTCGTGCTCATGATCCGTCTGATTCTGATGACATTGAGACGGATCTGCAGAGGTCGTTAATATGGTGAGACTCATCAGAAGCATGACGTGCTTGTGTTTGCTTTCTCATTCTTGCAGTGAATAGTAAATTTTTGGACTTCCTTTTATTGCCTCAGGTTGAGGGATGAGGTGCGGAACCTTCCTTGTACTTATAAGTGTCGGCATGATGCTGCTGCTGATTTAATCCATATATACGCCCACACAAAGTGCTTCTTCAGAATAAGAGTGAGTGATTTTTGTCTTTTGTTTTACATAGAAATCTGAGCAAATATTGTGCCTTGATGTGGTGTTAGTGCATGCTGTGACTATAGTGCTGCATCTTGCAGGAATACAAGACTGTTACTTCTCCGCCTGTGTACATCAGTCCGCTTGACCTGTGTCCCAAGTATGCAGATAAGTTGGGCTCACAGGGTCACGAGTACTGCAAGACATATGGCGAGAATTATTGTTTAGGACAGCTGATATATTGGCATAACCAAGCTAATGCTGACCCAGATTGTGGCCTTGCCAGAGCGAGCAGGGGTTGTTTGTCTTTACCAGAAATTGGTTCCTTTTATGCAAAAGTCCAGAAACCATCACGCCAGCGTGTTTATGGTCCTAGGACTGTGAAGTTTATGCTTTCAAGGATGGTAAGCTAATTCCCTTTTGATCCTTTCTTGCTTCATTTTATCTCATATCTTACAAATGATCAACCACTATACATCATGATATGGCACACTGCCCGAGCAGAAAGTCTAGAGTAATTAAACTGCTCCTGTCAGGGTAAGGTAGTAGTTTGACCTGAGGCAACATGTTAACTGACTTCATAATACTGGAACTGCATGTTCAGAATTAACTGGTCATTCCGAACTAATGGCAAGAGGAAATGATTTGTCCTGCTTAATGTCCATTTCCTTCTTCTCTGGGGTTTCACTGACACGAATTGTTGTTTCGGCTTTTTTAAATATGATCTTCAGTTTCATCTTTCAAGTGACTTATTGACCGACATGAAGGATTTTGTTATCCAATCTTCATTTTGCATCATCTGACATAGTTGTGGACTTCACAAGTACCACATATCTAGGAGTAGCCTTCCAAGTTCTTGGATATTATTCAAGTAATTGTCGGATATTTGTGGAAGCCTCTCTCAGCAATTTGATCTCCGTTCTTCTACAACTAGGACATTTCTGCAATTGTCTTCTCGTTCATGGTCATTTTGTTGTTTATTTCTCAGGAGAAGCAGCCTCAGAGACCTTGGCCAAAGGAGTGTATATGGTCATTTACAAGTTCTCCCAAAATCATTGGCAGTCCTATGCTAGATGCTGTACTAAACAAGGCTTCGCTTGACAAGGAGATGTTACATTGGTTGAAGCACAGGCCTCCCATTTTTCAAGCAATGTGGGACAGGTGAAATTTTGCAGGCAGTGAGAAGCAGCGGGATTAGATTGTTATTCTTCTACCTAGTCATTGTTTAGGAATGGTTTCCGAGATTTAGTTAACATGTGAGGTGGGGCTGGCTGTTGATTCCCCATTCTGCTGCTTCCACCCTCCATTCTTGTGTACAGTTTAATCTTTTTTTGCAATTTCATTCCTTTTTTTTTCATATGATTTGTAATTCATGATTAGTGGTAGATAGTCTTCCTTTCTAATTTAATGGAAATGGCATAAGGGCTGAAAAATCGGGTTGTCCAAGCATTTTGCTTCATGCTATATCCTAACCTCCATATGCTATATCGATTTAGGCTAATTAAAGATGAGAGTTTTTATGGTTCAAGGATTGATGAACGACTTATGATTTGATTATTTTGTCCTTTTTCGCTTTCATGGCTCATGGGTTAAAGCTGTTGCTTCTTTACCGCACCATCAAAATGACAAATTTGAAGCCTTATGAGGGCCTTTTGTTTCGAAAATTGTGTAATTCTCTTAATTATCAGGAGCATATGTGCATACCAGGTAAAAGGTATGATTCGACTTTTAATTGATGCACATATTATATTTGATATGAAGGCTTTTCTTGTCATTGGAACAAGTAAGAAAGGTATGGCAGGGTTACTTAAAAGTGAAGTGGGTGGTGCATGTTTAGGTTCTCGAACCTGCAACAAAATGTATACAGAGGGAGTTCCATTTCAAAAAAGATTTGAAGAGGTTTCGGAGTGGAATTGGAATATATCTCCAAACAAAAGTGATATGAGTCCCATTTTTCAGGTCATAAATTATGTTGTTGGCTTTGTCATACACTCGGACTCGTCGAGCAGAAGTTGTGTTATTTTTCTGTTGCCTGTATGGCGGCATGAATATTCCTAAATTATCAAATCCGATATTCCGATTTATCTGGGTCCGAAGGGTCACTTTTTGGCCAGATGAATAGTAATTTATAAGTGTGATGCTCAGATATTGTACATGATTTTGGGGAAAAAAGATACCATTATTTAAACCAAAAGGAAATGCTAAGTCCCTAATGATGCTCCATTTATGATTTATCCCAAAAGAGATTGAATATTTATAAATCAATTATTATTACTGCAAAATGTTAGAAAAATGGTACTACATTACGTCACGAGTATAGAGCTTGTCATAAATTGAGAATCCGTATGTCTTTTAAAAAAAAAGGGATATAACGAGCCAGTCACTATTAGTTTTTAATACTTTACATTATACGGAGAAGTGGTACTGTTGTTTACAATATAAAATATTGTCAACAAGATAAAAATTTAGTTTACGATTTAAAATTTGTGAACAAGATAAAAATTTAAAACGTGCAATTATAGAATGCCAATAAAATTTAGACACAATTAACATATATAAACACGCTACGAATAATTAGTAACTAAATGTAACGTCTCTATTCCTATAAAATAATACAAATATTTTGTAATGAATCACAAGTTTAAGAGTTGTTACTCCTTTCAAAACTCTTAATACAAGTGTGACCATTCCTAGCTTCTCCCAAATTATACAATACAATATATACAGGGCCTTTTCCTTTTGTGCTCTACATCAAAAAGATAAAACTAAATCAAAACAAAATAAAAAGCCTTTGTCTTTTCTACGGCAACTCAGCTCATGATTAGTACCCAAATCGTGCTGTAGACACAGTACCTGTAGGACACGTGTACACCACCACATTCTAATCCTCAACACCATCATTCCCTTGTACTGAACCCTGCCCCCAAAGTGTTTCACTCGATTTCCATTTCCACCCTCCAGCTGGACAACCCCACACAGGTAAAATATCACACAAACCCAAGGGTATAAAAGTAAAACCACTACACGTCCTACCTCATCCCCGATACAGACAAAAAATCAGTAAATCACCCTGGCTTTTTGTCTTATTCCCCAACAAATCCGTCAGTTGCACGAGCCAACAACACTCCTCCTCATTCTCCACCGTCCGATCTTCGCCCAGTATCTTCATCCAACGGTTCATATAGTTCAGAAAATACACGTCAGTGTACAGACAAAAAAACCCCAACAGATTCTTAACCCAACTCTGCCACCTGTCTCCTTCAAGCCGCCAAAATTATTTTGTACCTCATCAATGAATATTCCGCCACGCGTCCCCTCCCCCAACGATATATAGCCTCCGGAGCTTTCATACTCTTCAGGCTTTTTTTCTCCTGAATATTTGAAAATTTAAAAAAGAAAATGGAGAGAAAATTTCCCGCCGGAGGACAACTACGGGGCTACTCGGCCGGAGTTAATGCTCCGGCGATGCTGGGACTTGAAGAAGCGTATCTCAACGGTTACTTTTCCGACCTGAGTTTTCAGTCTATTCTCCAACCTCCCTGTCATTACGACAATCAATCTCTGCAGCAGCCGGCTGTGGAGACTCCTGCTTTTTCTCAGGCGACGTACGGCTACTATATCCAGGATGTTCCGGAGAGTAGTACTAGTACTTTTTCTGAGCCAAATCCTACGACCTACCAGTTTCTGAACCGGGAGGAGCTTAAAACTCCTAAACATGAAGTCTTGGACACCCAAGACTTCGCCTTCCAGCTGCTCAAACTCAACGAAACGACTCCAAGCCCAGCAGTTTCACCGCCGGAGCCTCTCATCAACTTCTTCTCCACCTGCTCCTCTTCCATGGATGACCTGAGCAGCAACAGCAGCGGAGGTGCTGGTCAATTCGTATATCAAACCGGTTCTCTAAGCGACATCATGAATGTCCAAGTCCAACAGCTCACTGAGTCGTCATCGTCCTCCTCCAGATTTCCAACTCACCGAGTCGACCCAGGGAAACGGTACGTCCCGTACAATTTGTCACCGAAACCGGACAGGAAGCGAATCAGGCAGAAGATCAGCGAGAAGACTCGTTGTTTACAGCGAGTTTTGCCCTGGGACAAGAAAATGGACATGGGAACAATGCTTGAAGAAGCCTACAAGTACGTCAAGTTCCTCCAGGCACAAATTAGCGTCCTCCAAACCATGCCGGAGAAAAGTTCTACGGCTGCTATTTCTTCTTCAGGAGGAAAGAGCAAAAACCCTAGCTATGACGTCAGCAGCAGTGGTGTCGGCGAAAACAATGTTGCGTGGGGAGATCTGGGGAAGTTGAACAGGCAGCAGTTGTTGGAGGTGGTGGTGAACTCGAGGGTGGCGCAGACGGCACTGTACTCGAGAGGCTGCTGCGTTTACTCAACGGAGCAATTGGTTTTGCTGAAGAAAATGGCGGAGAAAAAAACGCTGTCGGAACAAGTCCTCTTCGCCTCTCCTCTTCTTTTCTCCTGAATGATAACAATTCCCAAGGTTCTGTTTGGCTGGCTGTAGTTTTGTAAATGCTAAAAGCTGGGCCCGTGTTTCTTTTTGAGGGCACGTATTATGTAGTAGTAGCAGTAGTAATAGTAAAGATAAGTAGTGTGCGAGGACAATGAGGGGTTTGATGATGGGATTTTGATGAATTTTCTATCAGTAGTGATAGAAGTAAAGTTTTGTTTCTCTCCCACAGTAATCTTTTGTCTCCGATCTTTCCCATGAAAGCAGCGTCTATGCGTGTGCATGTCATGTCTGTCTCTGTGTGTGTGTTGCAGAAAATCGAAATTTTGCATTTAAGGAAGAATCAAGATTGTGGGAAATGGGGAAAGGTCAGAACATAGATGAGAACAACAGTAATATTGTATGGAGTTGTATTAATGGTAATTATGGGATTTTGATGATCATGAATTAATAGCAGTAAACATATACGTCCTTTCTTCAGAGTGATCTTTTATCTCAAATCTTTCCATTTAATTAAGCAGCATGCATGTGTGTGTTTTGTGTGTGTTGCAGAAAGTGGGATTTTTGTATTTTGAAAGAAGCAGCAAGATTGTGGGTACTGAGGAGTTGTATTAATGGTATGCTAATTCTGGGGTTTTGATGAATTACTAGAAGTGTAGTAAATATAGGTCCTTTTCTCAGAGTGGACATTTTGCTCATATCTTTTCCATGCAAGCAGCAAGTGTGTGTTGCAGAAAGTGGGGATATGGTAATTATCACTTGAGTAAATGCTGAATATAGAGAGTATTGGATATTCTAGTCTTCGTAGAGCTCTGCCTTACCAAATAGGGGTTATGCTATATATGCTTTTGTCTTGTGTTTCTGGTTTGGGACACTACTGTTGCTGAGAAATTCTCAGCAACCTTCTGCTACACTTGCTTTATTGTCTAAAGTAGGTTTGCACTTTGCAGTTTGCAGTGCCTAAAGTATATGTGAATAGCCAATTGCTGCTACTACTTGCTGCTGCAAGCTGAAGTTAATACTATTACTACTACTTGTTTCTTGTATATCCAGCCAGCCAATTAGGAAAAAGAAAGGGCCTTTTTTGGCAGGTTGCAATCAATATTGCCAAAGTTGATTTTCATCAATTCAGCAAATGGCAAATGGTCAAATGGAGCGCAGTTCAAGTTCATGCTGTTTCTTTCTTGGGAAAAAGGCTTGACATGGTTTACTACTACCCGTACTCATGGAACCAGAAAAAACACACTAAGTGTGATTTTCTATTTGATCTTTGAGTGCTGTGGAGGGTCTGAGGATATCCACGATCAAATCTCAAATCCCAATTAAGGAAATCTCCAAGGAATGATTGAAGAAACCACGTGCAAGATAAAATATGCTTGATGATGGGATTTTCAGTTTGTAGTAAAAACCCGTCATTTTCTTGAGAGTCTTTTTTTCATATCTCAGTTTCGCTTATTTTTGTTTGTTGGTGTCCAGTGTGTGTGTCTGTGTGGTTCTTTTGTGTGCACTTAAAGAAGCTACATTGTGGGAACTAGGGAGTCAGATCATAAATGACACAAACGTGTAATGAAGAAACTATCCAACATAATCATGAACAAAGTTGTGGTTATGGAGAAGGTATTATGTCAGTAAATGATTACAGATAAAAACAAAAGGGTAAAAAACAAAAAAGTCTCGTGGTTTCAAAACCTACAACACGACACCTTATGCTTTTAACTAAATTGTAAAGGTGACGAAACTGTTAAATTTAACGGAGATGGACGAAATGACAAAAATGCCCTGATATAACTAAGCAAAAGACAACTCAATAAAATCATTTATTTTACTCTTCAGAGAGAGAGAATTGGGGGCTAAAGGATAGAACAAGTATATTTGTTAAAAATTCGGTATAAAATTTTTTTTTAGGTTCCAATAAGTCATTTCCTTTAATTTTAAAGAATTTCGTCACATTTACAATTTAGTTCAGAGTATGAGATGTCGTTTTTATACATTTTAAAACTACGGGGGATTTTTCTATACATTAGATTTACCATAAGGGGCTTTTTTGTTATTTATCCTAAAAAA